CCACGAGGTACCAAACCTCAGAATAAACACAATTCACAGGTCCTAGTTCGGGAACCCTAATCACTTGGCACCCTGTTCCCTCATTTCAACCGGTAACTGCACGGACGACTCACGTGTCAATAAAAAAATGCTAACGTAGAAGGAAAATGGATGAGGGTATGTATGAATGATCAACAACATTAGAATCCCTCTTCTTAAACAGATAGGGGTGATTAATTACGTGTATGCTTGTGCAAGTGTTCTATCACAATTCAGGCCAAAGAGTAAGAGTAGAGGAAATGTACGGCACATAAGGAACAACCCTCACAATTTGGACAAAGTAAAGTTCACATAAGTTAGGCATGCCACTACACAAATATCAACAACAACAATGCCCCCATGTCATCTCAAGTCATCACCAATCAAACACCGACATAGCCCACCTTGTCTCGCCACGTGCGCAATAATAAAATAAATGCCCGCCATGTCTCTCCGCACACGCATAATAGTATTCTCACCTTGTCTCGCCACATGCGCAAACCCACACATATATAACCCACCTTGTCACGCCGCATGTGCAATATCAATAGTAACAATAGCACGGTAGAAACCTCGTGCGAACACCCGATAAAACCTCCCAACAATAACACGTGCTAAAATCACAACATCATAATAGCCCTCATCTCAATAAACTGAGTAAAACAACAACCACAACAATACACGAGAATTCGACTAGTAAATCAATTTAAGAGCTTTCGAACACATAGAAATGGTAGAACGGACTCACAGAGAATAAACACAATAAAGAATACCAGTCACAATAAGAATAGCTCAAGAAGGAAGAGATAATATGTAACAACAGTTCCACAAGTACAACTTGACAACAAGGAATATAACGCGAGTCAATAATTCCAAATAAGGGTGAGACAACTATGATAAAGGATAACTACTTAGTTTTGGGTTGGGCAACCACGAAAGAGATACAATAATTTCAATTAAAGATAAGCAATTAAGAAAAGATAACATGGCAGCCGAAGAGGATAAAACTTCAGATAAGGCACAGAGGAGACAAATATGCAATAAGAATGGAACATGAAGCAATTAATTCCAATTAAAATACGTAGGGGTGAACCTAGTAAATGAGAAATTCAACATATCAAAAACAACTTCATATTTAATGAACATAAGAACCTAAGAATTCTAAACGGTCAACTTTCCATAAATAAGCCCGGGAACGTACTCGTCACCTCGCATATATGGGCTTCGCATGGCACAATTAGCATAAAGGACTCAAATCCTAAGGGAAAATTCCCCTACACAAAGTTAGGCAAGATACTTACCTCAAATATCGCTCAATCAATCGATAAGGATGCCTTTCCCTCGGTTTCCGACTCAGAATGGCCCAAATCTAGCCAAAAGCAATTATATATCATGAATACAACTACAAGAAACTAATTTAAATACTGAAACTATGACTTTAGCAAAGAATCGAAAAATCGCCCCAGCAAGTCGACCCGGGCCCACATCACGGAATCGGATTAAAGTCAGAAAATACAAATACCCATTCGATATCGAGTTCACCCATACCAAAATTACCAAAATCCGACACCAAGTCGCCACTCAAATCCCCAAATTAAACTCTACAAATCCCTAACCTCAAACTCTCAAATTCCACCTTAAATACACACCAACTAGGTGAGAAAATCAATGGGGAAACAAGGTTATTGATCAAAAATGAGAACAAGAGACCAACCTAAAGAAATCTCTTGAAAACGCTCTCAAAAATCGCCAAGACCCGAGCTCTAAATGTTTAAAATGAGCAAAAATCGCGAACCCTTGCATTTAAGTGTTTTGTCCAGTATTTCCGCTTCTGTGAGTACATAGCCGTATCTGCGGTGTCACAGAAGCGACAACTTACCCGCATATTCATTTCTCTTTCTCCTGCGATCGACCCTTCCGCTTCTGCGGTCCAAATCCCGCTTCTGCGGGTGCGCATCTACGCCAAAATGTCCGCTTCTGCGGACAGGCCTCCCGACTCATCCGCTTCGCTTCTGCGACCTTCACACCGCACCTGTGACTACTAGACAATTCCCCTAGCCCCATATGTATGCCTTTCCAACCGTATCTGCAGTTGCACACCTGCGAGAATAGTTCCACAGGTGCGATTGCACCAGAAGGCGAAAAATCTCAGCATTTTCCTTAAGTCCAAATTTGATTCGTTAACCATCCGAAACTCACTCGAGGCCCCCGGGACCTCAACCAAACATACCAACATGTCCTAAAATATCACACAAACTTAGTCGATCCTTTAAATAACATATAACAACACTAAAACACGAATTACACATCGATTCAAGCCTAATAAGCTTCAAAGTTTCAAACTTCTACATCCGACGCCGAAACCTATCAAATCAAGTCGGATTGACTTCAAATTTTGTACACAAGTCATAATTGACATTACGGACCTATTCCAACTTCTAGAATCTGAATCTGAATCCGATATCAAAAATTCCACTCTCGGTCAAACTCACCAAAAATCATCCCATTTGTTTAACTTTCGCCAATTGGCGTTAAAATGACTTACGGACCTACGATTTAATATCTGAACATGCTCCTAAGAACAAATCACCCTATGGATTTATAGGAAACGTCAAAACTCTATTCTGGTGTCGTCTTCAAACAGTTCAAACTACGGTCAATTCATATTACTTAAACTTCCATTTTTAGGGACTATGTCTCCCATTTCACTCCGAAACCAAAAACAAATCCTTCCAACAGGTCATGTAACCACAAAATGAAATAGAGGGAAGAATAAATAGGTGTTCGGGGCTAATACTCTCAAAACGACCGGCCGGATCGTTACATTTGAGTAGACAAATGAGTAAGATGAATCAAGTGGAGAAGAAACACGCGACAAATGGAGGGAGTCAAATTCTTAGAGAAGGTCTAAAGTGAATTTGAGCTGAGAAAGGATGATTTCATATGTTTCTCGGATAAATTCCATCCCTACAAAAAAATGTAAGTCCCCGAGATCTTTAATTCTGAATTCCTGATTGAGAAATTCTTTCAATGCATGTAATTATGCACTATCATTTCCTGTCAAGAGTATATCATCCACATAGATAGCCATTATAGAAATGGAAGAATCTGACTTTTTAAAGAACAAGGAATAGTCATTTAACGAGTGAGTGAATCCCTTAAAGTTCAAAGCGGTTGTAAGTTTAGCATACCACTGTTGAGATTCTTGTCGTAGCATATAAAGTGATTTATTTAACTTGCATGCATGAGTAGGTGAAGGAGGCATAATCCCTGGTGGGAATTTTATGTACACTTCTTCATTTAGGTCTCCATGTAGGAAAACGTTATTCACATCTAGTTGATATAGACCCCATCCTTTCTTTACTGCAGTGTATGCATCTGATTGTGGTCATCTTCACCATGGGTGAAAATGTTTCATTGAAGTCTATGTCCTCTTTCTGTATGTCTTCTCTAATGGCCAATCTTGCCTTTAGTCTTTCCACACTTCTATCTAAATATTGTTTAACCTTATAAACCCATTTGCTTGGTAAAGCTTTTCTCCCATGTGGTAATTCAACCACTTCCCAAGTCTTATTCAGTTCAAGAGCCTCAATCATTTTGTCCATTGCTTCTTACCACCCTGGGTGATGTGCTGACTGTATATAGTTGATAGGTTCTTGTATATTGGACAATGTGTTTAGCATGTGTTGATTAGTATAAGATAGCCACTAAAATATATATAAGTAGGTGTAACAGGTGTGAGAAAGCAAGAGTTGCTAACATCCGTGAGTTGGAGTGCATTATAGATATAATCCTTGAGATAAGATGGAGTTGTGTGTGGTCTAGTAGACTTCTTAATAAGAACATCCATCATAGGATCAGAATTTAGAGAAGGAAAAACAGGTACAAATATATGTGATTGACTATATGATACTGGATAATCTGGAGAGAACCTAGAAGAAGAGCTAGAGAAAATAGGTATGCTAGGATGAATTGAAGAAATGGGAAAAGAACATAAATCAATTGATGATTCAGTAGGCTCTTGGGAAACTTCAGTGTGAGGTCTGCTAGCAAAGGGTAAAATTTCACAATTTCACTATGTCCCTCTACTGAAATCATCAACAATTGTAAGAAAATACTTAAATCCATCATATGTAGCACTATTGTATGGTCCCCAGGTATCTACATGAATTAATTCAAACACTTTCTTGGTAGAAATAGAACTAGAGGGAAAAGGAAGTTTGGATTGCCTTGCCATAGGACAAATAACACATGGAGTGGAAAATTTAGAAAACTTGGATATAGAAACTGATGAAATATTTTTTATATTGCTATGGGGCATATGGCCTAATTTGTAGTGCCAAAACTTTTCCTTTACACTTGCATCAGAAAAACTAAAACATGAATATAAATCATGATTGGAAACAAAATTCCTTCGTGGAATGAAAACTCTTCTAGAGTTAGGTGAACTCTTAGACACTGCTGTTGTATGTATGGATCTGAGAATGTAGAGGCCTCCTTCCTCTTTACCGATCTCCAGTGGGCTCTTCATTGTAGGGCCCTGCAGAAAAAAAATAGGAAGAGGGACTGAATAAAATATATTGCTTGAGTTGTCTGCACAACTTGTGCACAGACAACAGATTATATTTAAAGGATGGAATGTAAAGAACATTTCGCATAATCAGATTAGGGAAAAGAAAAACCGTTCCTGGATGAGTGACTTTAACTTTGTAAGAGTTTGGGAGTTTAACTATGAGAAGTTTAGGCAAGATTTTCAAATCTATGAAAATTTATTTGTTGAAAGACATATGTTCTGTTGCTCTACTATCCAATATCCAAGAATCATCATTGGTTTGAATTAAACAGGCAAAAGAGTCAAAGAAATTGGTTATACTAGCACAACTCACATTTGCTGCAACATCAAAGGTTCCTGCACTATTTTGTCCCATTTTCAGTTGCTGAAGGAGTTGTAGCAGTTCAGCCACATTCTCCTTGGTAAGATTCTAAACTCCTGTTGCATTTTCTGCTCCATCTTCACTTTCCTCATTTGAAAAGAAAGCGTTGTTTGCTCGGGCACCTCCCTGAAACCTTTTTTTCTTTGTGAACTTGGAATCTGCTGGAAACCCATGAATCCTATAGCACTTGTCTATACTATGTCCAGGCTTCTTGCTATAGGAAAATATTCCTGTATTTTTCTTAGATTCAAAACTTATTTTTTGCATCCTGTTCTCATTAAATTTCCTAAAGTTTCCTGGTTGGTTTGCAACAATGAATGAGGTTGGTTCCCCTAAGTATGCAGGGGTAGCATGTATCTCCCCCTGTTTCTCATCTTGAATCACAAGAGAGTATGCATGTCCAATGGAAGGTAAAGGTGATGATAATAAAATATTGCTCCTTACCCCAATAAATATGTCATTCAGTCCCATTAGGAAGTGTAGTAGTCTCATGTTGGTGCGCTTTCAAGCTTTTGACTTTTGCTCCACACTCACACTCACAAATATAAGCAGAAAATGTGTTGAGTGCATCTAGTTCATCCCATAGGCTCTTCATTTTGGTGAAGTAAGTTGACACACTTGAATTTCCTTGCACCGCTGAACTTAATTCCTTTTGTAGTTGGAATAACTTTACTCCATTTGCTTGACCAAATCTGTCTTCCAGGCCATTCCATAAATCCTTTGCACTCTGCGAATAGAGAACACTATCAGCTATCTCTTTGGACAAGGAGTTGAGCAGCCATGAAAGTACCATAGCATTGCATCTAGCCCAAGCTTGTTGGATTCCTGAATCAGCCTTAAGGACAACCAGGGTATCATCGATAAATCCCAGCTTGATCTTTGCAGACAAGGCAATAATGACTGCCCTTCTCCAACCTCCGTATCCTTTTCCATCAAAAGTTAAGGACACAAAGTTCATCCCTAGATAGTCAGAAGGATGAAAGTAGTAAGGATGAGTAGAGCCAATCGCTCCTGAAGTAATGGTAACTTCAGGTACAGGAGCATTGGTGGTGGTAGTAGCAGAAGCTAGAGTATCAGTCGACTGTGGTAAAGAACCTATAACAGACAAGCTTAAGAGAAGAAGAAAAATGAATAAGGAAAGCTGATTTATGACTGAGAAAGCAGAAAATGATAGCAGAATCAAACCTGCTCTGATACCATGACAAAATGAGAGAATGATTTGAAAATTTCCTTCTTTGTATATTCAATAATGTGTAATCAGTCATTGTACATACCTAGGAATATAGCATGAATCTAGAGCTACATGCTATATTGCCAAGTGGTAATGTCCTCTTAGCTAGTATAAAGTTGTACATAAAATAAAAACAAGGAAGGAAGAAATAATTAAAATACAGGGTGTCATGTCCTGTGCACTATGAGAATATTCTGGAACAATGTTTTTGTCACTGAAACCCAATTCCAAATACCAGCCGAAGCAAGCCCATAAGAATGCTAGTAGCAAGCATGCCCAAAATGCAGAGATGACCCAAAATAGAACCGAGTGGCCTCATATGTATATCCTAGACTTAAGTACAGTGTAGTATTTGTACTTCATAATCAGAAAATCCTAGACATTTTTGTGCAAAACTTCATCGTCTCCAGCAGTTAGCGAATTTAAAATAATTTTTTAATAACATAAATTTAGATAGAAGAGATAAATTTTTCTTTGCTAGGAGCTAAGACTTCTTTCCCCTGGTAACACAGCACAAAAAAATAATAGAACAATCCACTAAGTTGATAACCATAGAAATTGATCAAACGGAAAAGAAAAGTATTTTTTTTCCTTTTGGATGTAGCGTCGCCCCTATCAAGGAATACATGTCGAATCCTATTTTGATATTATTTGCTTTTACTGAACCATGTTATATATTTAATAGTTAGCTAACTAAGAAACTAATTGGTTTTAGGTAAGACGAAAGTTTTATATACAAACAATAATCAGAACTCTTTTCCCATTCTGGTTAACTCTTGAAAATGGAAGAAGCGAAAGGAAAAACCTAATTTTAAATCTTTCACATGGTTAACTTAGGAATTATAGTTTTAAAGATAGAAGTTCTAACAAAATTCAAATTTAATTCTAAGAAGTGGCCGTCTTTGGTTAGAGCCAGGACTCCTTTTCCCAACTAACAAATGGTACAAAAACAAATAGAATTATCATAATAGTTTCAAAAAAGGTTAAGCATTATGAGGGTACATACAAGATTTGATTTATGTGCTTCTATCTGTGGCCTTCTCGATGCACTATGATATAGGTGTAATCTCAAATATCTCGCTTCAGGCAAAAGCACTCGTCGGCAAGCAAATCACTGAACATTCAGAACTGAACATAGATATGTACTTCTGTAAATCTATATTTCATATTTATCAGCCAATAGAAAGAGCTTCTGTTTGGAGGCAGATGTTGATAAGGAAGCAAATATTTTAGCAAGCCTCATGTACAGTTATATTTAGTCTTTTATATGTTATGTTTTTTCAAGGGATAATATGGCACAAGGATTGACTTCCCAACATTCTATCTTACGTTTTTTTGTGGGCTAAACAAAGTTCATACCCCTTCCAAATGTATAATGATATTTGAAAAAATATGACCTCGAAGTTCTGTGCTTAAAGAAGGAATTAATTATAGTTGGCGCTACATAAAATCAAGAACAAATCTCTCCATATGAATGAGCTCCAAATAATGTAAAATTATTTTGTATTAACATCAATCATAAAATATTAAAATTTATAAGTTATATGAAATAATGCATAACCTTCCAATTTCAGATTAGGAATTGCTATTTTATCTGATGCAGTTAGCTCTATTCACTGACCTGAGGGCGGGAACCGTCTTATCTTAGGGTAGGGGTAGCCCCACTTACTTTTGAGTCTATCAGCTGCAACAAGGGCTGCGGGAACGAGTGATGTGCTTGCCAGTGATGTGCTTGCCCCGACCGATATCACCATTCATTACCATGAACCAACCTCTCTTAAGGAGTGTGCTAGTAATTCCCAAACGAAGGAAAGAAAGACATGAGAGGCATATAGAGGACTCAAGGACAAGACACGACTCAGACCCCGGTAAATTTGATCTTCATTGGCCTTGCTGTCCGCAAATCGATTACTCTCCTTTGAAGGTGAAATGTAACAATCTGTACGGTCTTTTTGAGAGAATTAGCTCTGAACCTCTGTTTATTGCTTCCTCTACTTTATTTAGTGGTTATGTAACTTGTTGGGAGGATTTATTTTTGGTTTCGGAGTGAAATGAGATACATAATCGGTAAAATGAAAGCTTAAGTCATAAGAATTGGCCGTAGTTCGAACTATGTGAAGACGATTCCAGAATAGAGTTTCGATGGTTCCAATAGCTCCGTAGGGTGATTTTGGTCTTAGGAGCATGTTCAGATGTTGAATTGGAGGTCCGTAGGTCATTTTAGCGCCAATCGACGAAAGTTGAAAATTTGATGAATTTTGGAAAAGTTTGACCGGGAGTGAACTTTTTGATATCGGGGTCGGATTCTGATTCTAGAAGTTGGAATAGGTCCATAATGTTAATTATGACTTGTGTGAAAAATTTGAGATCAATCGGACTTGATTTGTTAGGTTTTGGCATCGGATATAGAAATTTGAAACCTTGAAGTTCATTGGGCTTGAATCGATGCGTAATTCGTCTTTTTAGCATTGTTTGAAGTTATTTAAAGGATCGACTAAGTTCGTATGATGTTTTAGGAGTTGTTGGTATGTTTGGTTGAGGTCCCGGGGGGAGGGAGGGGGGTGGATTCCGGATAGCTAACGGATCAAAAATTGGACTTTGAGAATAAATGAAGCTTTGTTGTGTCTGGTGTAATCTCACCTGCGCATTTTGGGCCACAGGTATGGCACCGCAGAAGCAGCCTTCAAGCCGCAAAAGCGGAAATGGGACTGTCCAGCTGAGCCCGCAGAAGCGAGAAGATGGGCGCAAATGCGGAAGGTGTGCAGGTGCGATCGTGAGTTCCGCACTTGCGGTTACGCAGATGCGAGGGAGAAGACCGCAGAAGCAAAGGCCGATCTCCAGTAGTTAACCGCAGAATTGGTGCATTTTCTGCAAAAGCGGGACTGCAAATGTTGTCAAGTGATCCGCAGAAGCGGAAATCCTGGGCAGACGGGATGTTTTATCTTTGTTGGACATTTTGAGCTCGGGTTTTGGCGATTCTTGAGAGCATTTTTAGGGATTTTTAAAGGTAAGTCTCTTGTGCTTATTTTTTAATCAATAATCTTGTTTCCCCATTGATTTTTTCACCTAGTTAGTGTGTATTTGAGGCAGAAATTGGGAGTTTGAGGTTAGGGATTTAGAGAGTTGATTTGAGTAAGTGAGTGGCGATTTGGTGTCAGATTTTGGTAAATTTGGTATGAGTGAACTCGTGGTCAAGTGGGTATTCATATTTTGTAACCTTTACTTGATTTCGAGACATGGCCCCGGGTCGACTCTTTGGGCCAAATTTTTTATTTTTTGCTAAAGTCGTAAATTTATGATTTAAATTAGTTCCTTTAGTTTTATTTGCTTTTGGCCAGATTTGGGCCATTCAGAGTCGGAAAATCTAGGGAAAGGCACTATTACCAATTGATTGAGCGAGATTTGATATAAGTGACTTGTCTAACCTTGTGTGGGGGAAATCCCCTTAGGATTTGGTACTGTTGTAATAATTTGTGATATGTGAGCATAGTATACGCGAGGTGACGAGTGCATACACAGGCTGATTATGGAAAATTCGGTTCTTGCTGATTTGTCATCTTTTTAAAATATATTAACTGAGTTGTCTTATTTTAAAATACATTAACTGAGTTGCTTTAGCATATGTAGTGATCATGTTTAGCCTAGCATCGCATGTCTACGTGCCTTAACTCTTACTTGCAATTTGTGCAACATGCTTAGTTGAATTACCTGTTTGCCCTTGACTTAAAGTAAAAACTTTAACTGTGAGTTTTCTTTCCATAAATTCATTGTTACGACATCCTACGGAGGGTGAATTGGGGTCATGATAAGTTGGTATCAGAGTCGGGTGAGGCTAGACAATTGGGTACAAACTTGGTTCAGGATTCAGGATCGACTTCGTACAGCCCAGTCCAGGCAGAAGAATTATGCGGATCGAAAGATTCGCGACTTTGCATTCATGGTTAGGGAGTGGGTATTGCTCTAGGTTTCGCTAATGAAGGGTGTTAGGAGGTTCAGGAAGAAGGAAAATTTGAGCCCTAGGTATATCGGCCCTTTTGAGATTCTTGAGAGGGTTGGAGAGGTGGCTTACAGACTTGCACTACCACCTAGTCTCTCTGTAGTTCATCCAGTATTCCATGTTTCCATGCTTCGGAAGTATCACGCCGATCCGTATCATGTATTAGACTTCCGCTCAGTCCACTTTGATAAGGACCTATCTTACATTGAGGAGCCAGTGGCCATTTTGGATAGGCATCTTCAAAAGTTGAGGCAGAAGAACATCGCTTCGGTGAAGATTCAGTGGAGGGGTTATCCGGTCAAGGAGGCAACTTGGGAGACCGAGCATGATATACGCAGCAGTTATCCTCATATTTTCACCACTTCAGGTATGTCTCTATACTTATTCGAGGAAAAACGTATATTTTAAGAGGGGGATATAACGACCCGGTCGGTTGTTTTGAGAGAATTAGCCCTGAACCCCTATTTATTGCTCCCTCTACTTTATTTAGTGGTTATGTAACTTGCCAGGAGGATTTGTTTTTGGTTATGTCCCTAAAATGGAAGATTATGTCATAAGAAATGAACGTAGTTTGAATTGTATGAAGAAGACTCCGGGATGGAGTTTCGACGGTTCCAGTAGCTCCGTAGGGTGATTTTGTTCTTAGGAGCGTGTTTGAATATTGAATTGGAGGTCCGTAGGTCATTTTAGCATCAATTGGCGAAAGTTGAAAATTTGATGAATTTTGGAGAAGATTGACCAGGAGTGGACTTTTTAATATCGGGGTCGTATTCCAATTCCGGGAGCTAGAATAGGTCCGGAATGTCAATTATGACTTGTGTACAAAATTTGAGTTCAATCGCACTTGATTTGATAGGTTTCGATGTCAGATGTAGAAGTTCGAAACCTTAAAGTTCATTATGCTTGAATCGATATATAATTTGTATTTTTAGCGTTGCTTGATGTGATTTAAAGGCTCGACTAAGTTTGTATGATGTTTTAGGACTTGTTGGTATGTTTGGTTGAGGTCCCGGGGGCCTAGGGTGGATTTCGCATGGCTAACAGATCAAAAATTGGACTTTGAGCATAGCTGAAGCTTTGTTGTGTCTGGTGTAATCGCACCTGCGCATTTTGGGCCGCAGGTTCAGCACCGCAGAAGCAGCCTTCGAGCTGAAGAAGCAGAAATGGGACTATCCAGCTGAGTTTGCAGATGCAGTCATGGCCCCGCAGAAGCGAGCTCGCAGAAGCGAGAAGATAGGCGCAGATGCGGAAGGTGCGCAAGTGCGATGGTGAGTTCCGCACCTGCGGTTGCGCAAATGCAAAGGAGAAGACCGCATAAGCGAAGGCCCAGCTCAAGTGGTTAACCGCAGAAGCGGCGCATTTTCCACAAAAGCGGGACCGCAAATGCGGTCAAGTGATCCGCAGAAGCGGAATTCCTGGGCAGACTCTATTAATTCAAGGGCTCGGGATTTTATCATTGTTGGACATTTTGAGCTCGGGTTTTGGCGATTCTTGAGAGCATTTTAGAGGGATTTCTTGAGATAAGTCTCTTGTTCTTATTTTTGATCAATAATCTTGTTTCCCCATTGATTTTTCCACCTAGTTAGTGTGTATTTAAGGTAGAAATTGTGAGTTTGAGGTTAAGGATTTGGAGAGTTAATTTGAGGAATTGAGTGGCAATTTGGTGTCGGATTTTGGTAATTTTGGTGTGGGTGAACTCGTGGTCGAGTGGGTGTTCGTATTTTGTGAGTTTTACCCGATTTTGAGACATGGGTCCAGGTTGACTTTTTGGGCCGAATTTTTGATTCTTTGCTAAAGTCGTAAATTTATGATTTAAATTAGTTCCTTGTAGTTTTATTCATGAGATGTAATTGCTTTTGGTTAGATTTGGGCCATTCATAGGCGGAAAATCGAGAGAAAGGCATTCTTACCAATTTATTGAGCGAAATTTGAGGTAAGTGACTTGTCTAACCTTGTGTGGGGGAAATCCCCTTAGGATTTGGTACTGTTGTAACAATTTGTGATATGTGGGCACCATGTACGCGAGGTGACGAGTGCGTACACGGGCTGATTATGGAAAATTCTGTTCTTGCTGATTTGTCATCTTTTAAAAATACATTAACTGAGTTATCTTCTTTTAAAATGCATTAACTGAGTTGCCTTAACATATGTAGTGATTATGTTTAGCCTAGTATCGCATGTCTACGTGCCTTAACTCTTACTTGCAATTTGTGCAACATGCTTTGTTGAATTACCTGTTTGCCCTTGACTTAAAGTAAAAACTTTAACTATTAGTTTTCTTGCCATAAATTCATTGTTCCTTCGGTTACCTGCTGCATATTTACTTTGGGACTACGAGGTGGTTCCTCGAGAGATCCCCTGTACTTCATATTTACTTTGGGACTATGAGGCGTTTACTCAGGAGATCCCCCTATACTGCATATTTACTTTGGGACTACGAGGCATTTACTCGGGAGATCCCACTGTATTACATATTTACTTTGGGACTACGAGGCATTTACTCGGGAGATCCCCCCTGTCTTGCATATTTACTTTGGAACTACGAGGCGGTACCTCGGGAGATTCCACCTTGTCGTGCATATTTACATTTGGGACTACGAGGTGGTACCTCGAGAGTGCCCCTGTTGTTTACCTCTATTTACTTTGCTGATATTTTTTGAAATTTCTTGTTGTTTAAATTCTCAGTCATTTCAGAATATTATTATATCTTCTGCCTTAATTTTTTTTAAACCAGTAGGGCCCTGACCTGATCTCGTC